TTGCTCTTGGCCCTGCATCTGTCTCTTTATACTGCCTTTTCCTGGTCACAGATGAAGGACTTGTAAGAATGGAGATTACATAGTATTGTGGAGGAAGAACTTGATGAAAAAAATACACATGGCTTCCTTCCTCAGAAAAATGTATATAACCACAAATTTTGCTAACAATTTTAGAAAGAAATTCATGGATAAGAGGAAGCCCTAAGGGGTACATATATTCCAGATGTAAACAAACAAACAAAAAGCATGCTGTGGAGGAAACCAGGGAAGGGAGAGAGAGAGCGAGGGAGAGAGAGAATGTGAACAAAAATGGAAATATCTGTAAAGCCCCAACATCTCCCTTTTACTTCCCAAGAGGATGAAGCAGCTCAGCACCATGGGGAAGGACAGAGTAAGCAGAACAGTGTTTCACATTTCACAAACTTCTAAAAAGTCTTCTGACCAGGAACCACTTCTATCAGAGACAACTGCCCAAAAACTAAAAGACTGTTTTATAATAGTGCAAATAACATAACTGCAGCCCTGATTAGAACATCACATGCCCTGACAAATTAGTATTAAGCACCCTACTCTATGTCCATCACTGTACTGTAGGAATGTACAGTAAGGAAAGATTACATTATTATAATTCCTGAAAAGGACCATATTTTCAGACTGTGAAAGTGATAAATGAATTTAAATATTAACAAAACAAAATAACAAGTTTATTAAACATAAACCATTTTCTGCAATGCCAGTTTCTTTTTTCCCAGACACAACATGCATCTTTGCATTAAATCTGTCTATAAATCTTATCTCAAATAAATGGCAAACATTATAAAGGATATCATTTTACAGGAGGATATAATGTAATAGCATATTTATCAAAGGACAGCCTCATTTTCAGTAAGTATATTCAACCAATAATATGTATAAATTTAAATATGAATTGTTAATTGTATAATACAGGGTTTAAGTAAACTAGATGATTCTAATTTTTTACATGCAACTCAATTTTTGCCATACCACCACCAGCAAAATCCCAAAGAACAATGTATTAATTTCATTTTGTATAATGTTTTCTTCAGACCTGCTAAAGGGAACTATCAAGAAATGGAAATTTGGAGATAGCACGGGAATAGATCATTCAATAACTTACAAAATTAAATGACAACATTTAATTTCTTTTATCACAAAAGAAATGTTTATTAAAATTCTTTGAAGATCTTTGAAAAGTGTATATTAACATGAAAAATAATCAAATAACTGTCTGAAGCACCCTGAAAAAACATAGCTAAAATGATAAGCCTCACAAACATCATAGAAAGATATTATCAATTATGAAATGTTTATTATTAATATTTGCTAGGCACTAAAGCTAAGCATTTTACATACAATACTTGATCCCATATTCTGAAACATCATCATTCCTACTTGACATATGTGAAAATTATGACTCATATGGTTAAGTTTCTTGCCCTGGGCCTCAGAGCTAGTAAACAGAGATCGAACTTGAATTCAGTTTGTGTGAATCCAAAAGCAGTGCTCTTATCCATTATACCAGTGCTTCCCAACTTCTGTCACATGATGGCACACTCTGGAAATGATAATGTTGGTAAGACTCAATTGAGGTAAGCTGGAGGGGCTTAGTGGAAATTTTTTTCTTTAAATTATGAAATTATGGCATGAAAAATAAAATACAAAGTATTACAGATGATATTAAATACTGAATTGGTAAAAACCTTCCCAATAAAATTTCTCCAAATTACCAAATTCAGGAAGTTTACAGAGGGAATCATACCAAAAATGTTCAAATATCATGCTGTAGTAAAATTCTGAAGTTAAAATAATTTAAAAATTCACTACTATAAAAAATTTGCAAGCAGCACACCTATATGTCATCCTAGGCACTATACACTGGTTGGAAAGCTTTGCATAATATAGTTTTGTCTTTCAACAGAATACTGTGATTAAACACTAACTTGTCATATCAAGATCTTCCCAACAACATTTAAAGGAAAGTCAAACCAAAGGTTATCAAAAGAAGAATTATAATAGTGAAGGGTTCCTTAACTAATCCAGTCCACACTAGCTTCTTAATTTGTATTTCTATAGTACCTGTAATTTGTAAATTCACTTTGATTTAATAACAGTGATAGCTAATATTCACTGAGCTCTGTGTTCTGCCTTACATTATTATTATATTTAATCCTCACAGCAATCCTATGAAATATCTTTATTTTCTCCATTTTAAAGATAAGAAAACTGAGGCACAGAGAAATTAAGTAAATAACTTTCCCAAGGTTATAGCTGGAAGAATTTGAAGCAGTCTGACTACAGAGCCCATGGCTAATCACTATGCTAAACTACATCCCTGTAGGAAAGAATACATTATGTGCCAGGAGAGACAAAGGTTAACAGATAAATCTCAACTTAAATCAAGTTCAACAGTTTCATAGTGATAAAGTAAAAATGACCTGCATTTACAACAATGGAGATACTCCACAGCAAAAAGAAAATTATCTGTATATGGTGTTGGGTGCATTTTGCATATAGAAAGAGCACAGAAGATTATTTTAATTTCACATGTGTGTTATGATATGGCTCAAGCAAAAGCATCTGTCTTTGCAACCCATCTGAATTTGTGGATTTAATTTGCTCAAGAATACTAAAAAATCTGATTTAAAAAATAATAAAGTTTTATAAAAACTTTAAATGCAAATGTTTTTTAAACATTTAAAAGCAAATGTTTTACATCCTACATGCTGTGAAAAAAAAAAAAATAAAAAATAAAAGCAAATGTTTTAGTATTTTAATTTTTACTTACTGCTTTTCAAGTTCCCTAAGTCACCAAGTGTTTAATTTTTTTAATTAAATGCACTGTTTATAAAGTCCTGAATAAAGATTTTTCCAGACACTTGCACGAGTTCTGCTGGCACGAGTTCTGCTGGCACAAGTTCTGCCTGCCAAATCCTGCCATGTGGACGAAAGCCTCACAGTTTACAACTGTATTACAATATGCTAATGTCCTGAAGAGATTGCTAATGGTCAATGTACATCAAATCACTCATGGAAGATGAGAATACACCTTTAATTTCATAACCAAATCAATCAATAAAGAAAATGCCAATGTCTTGAGTGTTGTGGTTTATATCAAACTTCTGAAAGGCCTCAAGGACCAATGTCCAACATTAGCTAGCTTAGGCTAGTTAACAGTAAATATTTAAGGAGCATCTACTGTGTGCCAGGGACCATGGTCATCCACTGATGATACCTGCTACACAGACAGTGATAGTCTAGTACTACAATTTGAACTCATACCTTCTGGGAGTTAAGATATTCAAACTGGAAACTTAAGCTCCAATAGATAACTTTTCATCTATGGTACATCCAAAAGACCTGTTACCAGATCCTCTGCAATCTACAACTAATTTATGTTAACAAGCCTAGACTAGCAGAGGCATCCAGCATATCCTGGAGTACAAAGTAAGTAAGTCTTGGGTTGTGATGGTGCATTCTGAGCTCTGGAGCTTTTACACCATGAAAATTTGGCACTTTCCTAAAGTGACTCTCAAAAATCAATTGCTTCAAAAAGTAAAGTTCAATTGCTTACAGAAAACATTACTTCTACTTATTCTTCTCTAACCAATCCCTAGAAAATACTAATAATGAAGAAATGTGGCTTGATTTATTGGTAAGCTAATGCCAGGCTACTTTAAATGATTTACTGAGCCTCTCAAAAAATTTAAAACTAAATCATGCTGAGTAAAATGCATGTGACTGTACATCAAAACAATTTTAAATGAATATCAGGTAACATGAACAGTAATTCCTGAAGCTAATATTTTTGTTTTGAAGAGAGCAAAAAGGATAAAACAGCTCACCAGAGGTGTTTTACAGTAAATATGTTCAATTCCATAATTTATCGTAACGCCATCCCCACTGCACACAGTCCCCTAGCAACCATCCAGCAACTTCTAATGTGTAATCTATTGTCCATTAGATCTTCTGCCACAAACCTCAAGGCACTTTAAATTTCCCCAGGTCACACCATCCCCCACTCCTATAAAAACAGAGGAAAGAGTTATAAAACCTTAAGAGAATAAAAATGATTTTTTTTTAAAGTGGAAAAGTACAGGCAGTCTCTGCACCCAAGATCTTTTCCTTGCCATTTAACTCAACCACCTACCTTCATGTTCCTGGATAATCAAGGGTTCCTCCACCCAATTAATAGTTCAAATGTCAAGGTCCTATGTGACCACTGTGTCCTAGACTCTCTATTTAATCATTCAAACTTCTCAGCGTTATTATGTCATGAAGTATCACTTCGCTCCCAACTCACAAACCATGACACAAGCCCTACATATATTCTATCCCATCCTCTTTACCAACACGCTCCAACCCAACGTAAAACCTACTCTAATATCAGCTCTTCCTTTATGAGCTTTTCCCATATTCCTAAAAATCTCAATGTCCTACCTACTTCCTAACTCTCTTTGCTAATCGCAATTCTAGCCCAGAGTTCCGCCCGCTCCAGCATAATTCCTACAACCCGAAAACCCCACCCCCCTCACACGCCCACAGGGGCCTCAGCCAGAACCCCAACACTCCGCCCCAAGCCCGGCACGCCCTCCAGATCCCTTTGGGGTCCTTTTCGCCAGCTTAACCAGACTCAGCCCAGGCCTCCCAACTGCCTAGGCTCTCCGACCACCACTCCATCCCCGCCTCCGGCCGCTCACCAAGTAGCAGCAGCTTCACTTCTTTGGCCGCTTTCTCCCCGTCCTCCCGCAAATTGCGGTCGATCATCTTGCTCCGCTCCACCGCCGCCTTGTCTTCGGCGCTCAACGTGCAGCCCATGGCGGCGGCGAGAGAGGGGACCAGGCCCGGGCTCACTCACACACCACAGGAACTGCGGCTAGCCCTAGCTGAGATCGCGTCTACTCCTGGGCGGCGGCCCTCTCCGTCAGCTCCCCTGGAGCCCAAAAGAACCGGATATCCGGCCTTTACGCCACTTCCGGCGACGCCCCGCGGCCGTTACCACTTGAAGCACTCCAGCTCTGGGAGAGGAGGTGAGACCGGAAGCGGAAGTTACGGGCAAGTGGCGTCAGGGCTGGGCGGCGGTTCCGCGGAATAGGGAGGTTGTGTCAAGACGCTGCGCGCCACCCAACTTTAATCCCTTTTTACCTTTCGGCTACCTGATTTTGATAAATGTAGAAAAACCGGGGCCTCCAGCCCGTGGTGCCTTCTCGAGGTCACACAGCGGGTTTGGAGGTAGGAGAGCGGGGATTCCCAAATAAGAGCCACAGTCCGCACAGGAATTTTTGCTGGGAATTTCTTGCCTGCCAGAGAACTCCTTTGATCTCTTGCTGTGGCGACTCGGGAATCCAGCCCAAGTGTGGGACACTTTCTGCTGGGGTTGTCTCAGTCAGATCTATGGGACGGGAACAAACTGCCCAGCTTGGGCTCCCACCACTTCTCACAGCTGAGATCTGTAACACTGACCATGCCTAGGACTTTAATGCCTTTTGCCATCTCCTCTGGCCCACCACCTCCTGCTCTCAAAATATGTTACGTACGAATTTCTGTGGGCTTGAGATTTGCTTAGCAACTGTGTTGGCAATGTGTCACTTGAAATCGCCAGGAGATACTCGACAACCTAGAAAGTAAGCGTGTAGTTCCTCCGTAAAGTTTCCTTGCTGCCCATCTCTCCAACATAAGCTAGATTGACCTATGTTAGGGGCTTAGGACTAATACCAAGATAAGTCAACCTCAGCCCCACACCCTAAAACAAACCAGTGCATCCTGTGAATCTCCTATTAAAGAGGGAAGTTCTAGTAAAATTTGTCCTCAGCTCTAGTATCACCCGAAAATTAATAAATCCCCTGTGAAAGCCCCAGGCTGATACTCTTTCACAGATAACCCTGGGTACTACTGTGAAGATGGTCCTAAATTACCTTTACTGCCAAATAACCCCACAATTACTCTTACCATACATTCTAGCGAGGGGAACTCAGACCCTAAAATCTTTCCCTGTGATTACAAATTACTTTATTTCTCTAATAGAATCTGAACCTTAGAATATAAGATCCCAACAGAAAGGTCTATATAGTGATATTCATTAATCATAAGGATTTAATGAAAGGATTATAGCCACCTTAATTAAACAGCTTCATCCACCATAACTTTTGTCAATGCCAATTTTTCAAAGTTTGAAAAGTCTCCCACTCATTCCCAAATGACTGTTAAAATGAAAGGGACAGCTTTTTCCATTACCAATACTTCTGGGGAAAAAGGGCAAGAGGAAAGAAGAAAAATCAGTATTTATTGAGTACCTATTTGCCAGGTATGGCTAGGTGCTTCCACATCTCATCTTTTTTAATCCTCACAACAACCCTGTGAGGTAGGTAATAATGATCCCCATTTTTACAGATGAGGAAATAGGCTCAGAGAAATTAAGCAGCTTTCCCAAGTTCACACAGTGAGTAAGTAGATCTGACTCCAAATTCACCCCTTTTCTACCATTATAGGATTTACCTGGGGACACCTGACAACATAACATAAGGTATAAGGTTTTCATCTAGAATTGGGAGCCACTCCAACAACAGCATGATGCATGAAAAAGCAACTGACCAGATGGTTGCCTCAATCTGTTGATTCTTCAGAGGGTTAGAGGTCAGATTTTGTCCAGCAACAGCTTTCAGAGCTAAGGATTACATATTAAACTTTACCAAAACATCCTGGTGACTAGAAAACTCCTGGAAGGTGGTCATAGCAGAAATTGTTGGGAAAGTTCTCAGCATAGTAAAAGAGAAATTTTTATTCCCTTCATGATCCACTCCTACAGGGAAAAATAAACAGCAAATGAACCTATGTATGTCAAACTCTGTAATAGAGGCCAGTGAGATCCTAGTGTCAGGAAATGTTAGTCTGAATTAAAGATATCCTTGCACTTAAACCTTTCATTTTGGTGTATGTGAAGGAAGGGTTGGAGGGCAAAGTCAAAGGAAAAGGCAAAATAAATTAACAAAATGGCTGCCAGACAATGTTTAATGCCCTCCCCTTCCCCCCTCCCCCTACAAATACATGTCTTTCCTACTTTCACTGGACTCACACTGCCATCTGCTGGCAATGCTTTGGATCTACCAGCTGATCAGCGGTGTTTGAAAGATGCTTTTTCCCTATCTAGGAATGAAATTCTTCAGTATGAGTTTATTTTAAAAGGGAGGAGAGAGAAGTGAGCATGTTTTTCAGTCACAAAGGACTCTCCTTGCTGTATATGCTATCTTTCTAAGGAATTTCCTCAATATAATAGGCTCTAGCCTAGAATTATAGTCTAGTGATGGGAAGACAGAAACCTGAAAATCTTCCTAAATCAAAAGGGGGAAAGCTATGTTTGCCCCATTTCATTTAATAATTTTTTTTCAGGCCAGGTGCGGTGGCTCACGCCTGTAATCCTAGCACTCTGGGAGGCCGAGGCGGGTGGATTGCTTGAGGTCAGGAGTTTGAAACCAGCCTGAGCAACAGAGAGACCCCGTCTCTACTATAAATAGAAAGAAATTAATTGGCCAACTAATATATATAGAAAAAATTAGCTGGGCATGGTGGTGCATGCCTGTAGTCCCAGCAACTCAGGAGGCTGAGGCAGGAGGATTGCGTGAGCCCAGGAGTTTGAGGTTGCTGTGAGCTAGGCTGACATCATGGCACTCACTCTAGCCTGGACAACAAAGCGAGACTCTGTCTCAAAAAAATAAATAAATAATTTTTTTCTTCACTAGAGTTTCATTTACAACCCCCACACTTTCCATGGACTGCAGGAAACCTCCATGTAGGTATCTTGCTGCAATAGACTGAACTCTCCGATCTTAGAACTATGGATATATTTTCTAATATAGTTCTCAAACACATTCTGTAGTGTTGTATCAAATCTAAATGTTCTATGAAAATACAAGATCTCTGACCAAATGAGACTATGAACTCCTTAAAGGCAATAACTGCATACATCCTCTGTGTGAGTCCCAGGGAATAGTGTGTGTTCAACTATTAAGCACTGAATTGAACTGAAGGAGTCAATGTTGATATCAGTATAACTTTTATCATAGAAATTATTTATTGGCTGTTTAAAGGGGAAACTATTCCACTCCCACCAGCCCATTTTCCCCCTTTGATGTTCCGTGAGCCAGGAATTTGTTTAAATACAGACCACACCACCCTCTGGCCTTGCCTTGATCCTTGAATGTTACCTGATTCAATTGAGGGAAGTGGGATGGACAGGTGGTCCCTGATGGTGTCCTGTCCAGTTTGCAATTATTCCCTCTCCATTGAAAATATCACCATCAGTACTAACCAACACAGTTCCTACAGTCTCAATCAGTGAACAGCTGACCCCAGCTCCTGTGCCCTCTCTCCAACCCAGGGCTACAGATAGAAGAGAGATTTAAGTCTTTGTCACTGAAGCTAATTTTGAGAGCGATGAATGGGAGTAGGGAGGCATTTAATGGACCATGGAAACCCCACCCTTCCCATGCCCAACCTTAGTCTCTTGTACCCGATTATCCAGGGGGCTGGAGGTGGGTCACTGCCATGAGGAGAGAGATCAGGGAGGCCAGTCCTGGAAAGAAAAGATTTGCAGTATTATTGGTCAGGATTATTGGCCTCTCTGTATCAACTTAGCAATTCAAATGCCAACCCCACCCTCAGCCATCCGACTCCCCAATCATTCTAGTTCTTCATCCTAAAAGAGAGAAAAAGTCATCCTGTCTTATTCTTTTCTCTGCTGAAATCAAGCCCCACGCTTGATCTCCTGTGTGCAGGAGAGAGACAGAAAAATAGAACAGAAGGGCTTTTCCTGAAGAGTGGGAGAGAAAGAGCTGCAGTCAGCTTTCCTGTCTTCTATTCCATGTACCCTAACTGCTGTCTCACCTTGCGTCTGGCCAAACTAAGGAAAGAAATACACCCTACCAGTCCTCTCACTTTAAGGAATTCTCAGGTGTAAAACTAGAAAATGATCTATTAATTCAAACGAAACCATTTGGCTGTAATTTAGTTCTTTTTAAACTGAGCAAAGAAATGAGAAGACACAGGTCATTTTCTTACGTTGCTTGGGTGCAATTACTGCCCTGGACAATTACACTGAAAAATAAAAAAACGTCCTATATGGCCCCCAGAATAACTACAAACGCAGCCTGCTGCCCTATATCCTCCAACTCCTACCCTTAGAGAATGTCCCTGCTTCCTGAGGCATGAAAAGTTCACTCACTGGTTAAGAGGCTTCACCTCACCTTTGTGACCCTTTTCTCTCATCACCGTCTCATCATACCCAGGTTCCCTCCCCCAGTAGTCAAAGATCACAGCCAAGTCCAAGGCTTTTGCCATACGTTCATCCTGTTGGCTCTGTTCCCGACCGAGGAAACACTAAACAAAAGCTGTGTGCGGAGACCCCAGCCCCAGCCCTAGCCAGCTGGGAAAAGGTGATCCCACAAGGTGGTCCTTGCAATCATAACCGGCCCCCAGTCCCATCTCCCTCCAAGTGTCCAGCGGCCCGTCATGACTCCAGCCGGGGTGAGGGAGCAGGACGGAGGTAGCTGTCTGACATGATGATGTCGCTGGTGAGTTGCTGCTCCAGGAACTCAGAGGTCTCCTCAGCTATCTGGCCTGGGATTCGAAAGTCAACAGCAGGCGGCTCCTGCTTGGGGCTGGGTAAGGGTCGGGAAACCCAGGACTCATTGGGGCAACCAGTCCCCTGAAGGAACTGCAGGAAGTTTTCCTCAATGGAGCCCTCCCGGCTAGGCAGCCTCAGCTCCTCCTCTGGAGCTGTCTTGAAGAAGCAGACAAACTGCTTGCTGAGCTCCCCCCGGATCTGCCGGTTGAGACATCCATAGAAGAAAGGGTTGGAAGTGAAGCAAAAGTAGCCAATCCAGGTCACCACACTCTCCACCTGCCCAGTGGAAATGGGCTGAGCACTCAGGGCAACATAGAGGTGGAAAGAGAAATAGGGCAACCAACAGAGCAGGAACTGTCCCCCCACAGCCAGGAGAACCACTGCTGCCTTCCCTCCCCCAAACGTCCGGTGTGGGGTAGTCTGGGGAGCCCCCGAGCTGGTGACCATAGTAGAGCGGCTGCTGAGAGACTCGGAGCGTTGCCGGGGTGTCTCCATCCACGTGGGTAGTGGCCCATGCTGCATGGCAGCCACACGAGCCACTCGGAACATGCTGCAGTAGACCACAAGGATGAGGAGCAGGGGCAACAAGAAGTAAAGAACAGCAAAGACCACCACAAAAAGCTGGCAGTAGGCACTGTGGCTCCATTGGAGTGAACAGCCTGGGGGGACACTGGGAGCTCCTTCGTCCCAGGAGACCCTTCCCAATACTGGCACAGAAGCCATGGCCAAGGCCTTCACCCACACACCCACCAGCACAGAGGCCACCAGCCCCAGCGTCATGCGCACCTCATAGCGCATGGGGTGGACTACATAATAGTAGCGCTCCACATTGATGGCCGACACTGAGAGGATGGCCAGGCTGACAAAGCATACACTCAGGAACAAGTAGAGACGGCAGGCCACCTCCCCAAAGAGGGCATGGTCAAAGAGGGCAGAGCTGGAGAGCATGGCCAGGGGCATGAGGGTCAGGGCGGCCAGCAGGTCCACCAGGCAGAGGTGGAAGACGAAGACAAATTTTCGGAGGGCGGGTGTCTTGGCGATAACGGCCATCACAGCAGCATTGCCAGCCACAGCAGTCAAGTCCAATAGAAGCATGAAGAAGAGGGCCACAGACTCTGAAGCTATATCCCGCAGCCCCACCTCTGGGACCCCACTGGCAGTAGAGGGACCTGGGGTTTGAAGGACCCTCCCCACAGTGGAAGAGTTCCCTGATGACTGGGGGATGGGAGAGGACTCCATGGGGCCGAAAGAGGACACCCAGGGCACCTCCTGTCACAGGCCCATCCCCCATCCTAGTCCGGCGATCCTGGGATGGCGAGCCCAGGCTCAGGCTTCCCAATTTCGTGAGGGGTGCCTCCTGCTGGAGCCTTTAGTCAGGCTCTTACCACCAGCCTTCCAGGCTGGGCTTGTCTGTGGACAGAGTGCCAGGCCAGGCAGCTGAGGGCTCCAGAGTGCATATCCCCTTGCTGGCAGGAGGTGGCTCCAGGGTCTGCCTTGGAGACTGCTAAGAAGCGGGAGATGAGAGAGATGTGGGAGCCGCACCCACTCAACACTCCACCTTCGGAGTGGCCTTCAGTTCCATTTCCACTTCCTTTCCGCCATTCTCCATACCCTCCTACCCTTTCAAGGACTGTTATCCAGGGATTCTAAATCTTCTGTCTCCCTTTCCCAGGGTCCTGCTGAGCTCTGGGATAGCACCCCAGTTTTAGGGTTGCTTATGTAAATTTCCTGATTTCTTGTTTCCTCAGAATGGCAGGAGCTGCTGGGGAGTAGAAGGAGCAAAAGATTTGGTTTCCAGTCCCAGGAAATCAGTAAGTTAGTAATGCCCACATTACTAACTCTGTGACTCTTCTCAACTTCAGTTTCCTCATAAGGGCATCTGTAAAATGAAGAGAATAATACTTGTTTCACAACTGTGTGGAATTTATTAATCCTGTGGAATTTATTAATAGCAATACTAATAACCAGCAATAACATTTATATGGTGCTTTCCACATGCCAGGCCCTATTCTAAGAATTTTACATATATTAACTCATTTTAATCCTCACACAACCCTATAAGATAGATATTATTCTTATCCTCACCTTGCAAGGGATAAAATAGGCCTAGAGAGGCTAAGTAACTTACTCAAGGTCACACAGCAAGGAAGTGGCAAGGGCTAGGTACCTACCCTGGCAGTCCGGCCCCAGGGCCAGTCCTCTTGCCCACTGTGCCATGCTGTGTATGAAGGTGCCCTCCACATCGGCTGGACTAGAATAGGCTTCCAGTAAATTGTTGTTGAATTTGAACTGACTCTGAACATGTCTCTTGCTGCTCTAAGGTTGTCACCTGAAAAGGGGTACTGTACCTTACTCTCTTTTGACATCACCATTCCCAAGACAAAGAGCTGCCACTTTGGGAATGTTGAGAAAGAGCAGTGAAAAGAAAATGTCCTGGCAGGAAGGAAACTGGGAGACCAGCTTGTCCAGCTTCCACTGCCCCACAGCCAAAAGGCCAGAAGTCACTTTAAAGCTGCCCTTTTCCACTTACTCATAAACTTCTCAAGGCCTCTGTGCCCCTGCCTGTTTGAGAGGAGCTGCTCCCAAACTCCCACTTCCCAGCTCCTCAGATCTCTGGCCACTGGCGCTGACCCTCAGAGGGTCCCTGGCCCAAAGCTTCTTGGTTCTAGACTGTTACCACAGTCACAGAACAAGCAGTGGGAGTAGGTGCCTGTGTAAAGGGTTGGGTAGGTGGGGAGGGGACTGTGATCATGGAAGTGGGTGATCACAAAGCAGAGAAGAAAACTGGAAGAAATTGGGAGAGGAGAAAGTCTGTGGTGTCAGTGTCTCATTTGTCCTGATCAAATGGCAGATCAAATACAGTTTTATGTGTCTCATTATCCATGTTGAGTTTGCATGTAATTAAAATAGGTTGCCCAATGTAATAAAAATTTTTTTCATTTACATATACTATTCTGGCAGTCCAGATTCACTTAGTATAGTGTGCTGAGTTATGCAAATTAGAGACAAATTGCAGATACGCCAAGTCTAATGGCCTTTCTGTAGACAAGTCACACGTTCCCTAAGACAGTTTCCTCATCTGTGAAATGGGATGATTGGACTAGACAACCTTCAAGGTCCATACATGTGATAACATTTGATTACTCTGAGTTCCGGGCTCAGGAGGGCCTGGTGGTTGCTCAATTTAAAAACCCATCATTTCTATGACTGCGATAAAGAGGACCACACGGCCAGACAGCCTCAGTCTCCTCCACAATTACAGCCTTACAATCACCGTTACCACAAACCTTGCACTAATCCGACTTTTAACATGCTATGCATGCAGTGGGTGCTCAGTACAGTTTTGTGAATTGAATCAAACTGGATCTGTTGAATCCCTGCCTGCTAGTACAAACTCCAAGAATACTGTCAGCAGCTGTGTGTCAGCCAGGGGACTCTTCTGGAAAGGGTAACCCGGACTCCTGGACTTGAGGCAACCCTAACTTTGGATAACTGCCTAGAGATGTGCATCTCCCAGGGATGCAGAAAGCTCATTTTACAGTTAAGATGGCTACAGAGACTCTGGGTCTGCAGAGAAGGTGAAGAGAGGGCACAAAAGTGGAGGCATTAGCTTCTCAGAAGAGCCTACCAGGAAAAATGCCTGAAAGAAATAGTAGGAGAAGCATCCTTCCCCCTTTGTCTCCATGCCACTATTTACCCATCCCTTTTACCTATGAGTAGAGCCCAGAAGATATGGCTGAGTCCTTAGTAGCTGAAGGAGGAAGGGCCCACCATGTCTGGATGGACATCAAGAGCCCCAGATTGAGGGAAGCAGATGTGGTTTCCACGTGGAGATGGAGGGGTACTATGCAGCCATGATGGAACCCTTGGCAAGAAGGCACTGGACATTTCTCTTTTTCATAGCCCACTCAGCCTTGCCAGTATCTCTACAATGACTCCTGAATTCCAGGATTCCTCTTAGCAGACAGACCAATATACCTGGCTCCTCGGCACTCCCTCACTGATGCCTGGGGTTATGGAGGGGAGGGCTGTGGTGTAGTGGTTTCACAGGGGAAACCCAGGGAGCCCTCACTGCACTCCTAGCTCTTATCATTGTGTCTTCTGCCAGAACAGATGCTCTCGTCCCCCCACTGCTGCCTGCCAACACCCCCCTCTTGCCTCCAGGACCTCTCAGTACCTGCAAGGTTTTGCCACTAGGGCCTGAGGTCTGGGCCTGTAGCACGATATGCTCAAGTTACAGATATTCTTGTTTCAGGATGCAAGATGTACATAAGTACCCAGCCCAAGGCCACAGAGGTATCGTCGGGATTCACATATGCCTGTTTCCCAGATACAGAGCTTCTGTGCCAAAGACCCGAGCCTGGCCTTCCTTCACACAAGAGCATGCCCCTCCTAAGCTAAAGGAGATTTCCAGGAGCTATAACACCTCTCCCCAGCAGAGTTGCCTACTCCCAGGACACAGTTGCCCATCAGCCTGAATGCTGAAGAAGAACCGATTCCTAGGATGTGCGGGACCATCTCTATGACATGAAGCAGGGCAGATGGAGAACACCGTATGTCTGCAGGATGTGGGTACTCTTGCCGGCAAGAGATGATCAACCCCCCAGCTCTAGGCTTCAGAGATGCCCACACCCCAGTACTGCCTTTGGGATACCTGGGAACCCATCCATCGATAAAACTGCCTACCATAAGGTAGGGAGGGCTGGTCCTTGGAATGCTACCCTTCTCTAGGATACCTCTGCACCCGCCACCAGGCCCCGGGTCCAGTCCCCATTCCCGGCCTAGTCGGCAACTCCTACCTTTACTGAGCAGCTCCCGGCTCCCATGTGATAGCTCCTCTCAGCTGATGCTTCTCCAAGGCTGCTGAAGCCTAAACCACTGCAGTGAGCAGTGAGAAGCAGCCGGCAAAGCAGAATGCTCTGAGAGCTTCTGGGTCCTAATGGCCTCCTGCTTCCCATCCAGCCTCTTGGAGCCACTTCTGGGACAAAAAACTGGGCACCTGTGCCCTAAGCAAGGTGCCTAAGAGTGAGCCCAACTCCTTTTACTTCTGTTAGGTTGCTGGACTGCATTTCAAAAGCTTCATGGGGCCAGGTAATGATAGGCAGGGGGGACCCTCCTGACCAGCTTGATGAAGTTAGGAAAAGCACTTGGAGTCAGAAAATCCAGTTTCCAGGCCTGGCAATGGCACTTACTAGCTGTGTGACCTTGGGCAAGTCACTTCCCATTTTGGGTCTTTGTTTCTTATCTGTTCAAAGGGAAGGTAGATGATCTCTGAGGGTCCTGACAGCCCTGCCACTGCCTGGTTCTGTGTGACATCAGAACCAAGGTGCTCCTGTAGCAGGTGAATGCAGACATAGGGCTGCAAGGTTTAGGCCAGGGAGGGGCTGAGGCTCCAGGGGTGGCCAACGTTTGGCTCCTTTGGATGCTGCCAAATGTGTTCAGCAGACAGATTTAGGAGTGGCAGTCAGGTTTGAAGGGGAGCTGAAGGACTTGTCTTAACCTTGTACTTTTTTTTCTTAGATTACTTATTTGGAGTGGGGTTGTGAGGGTTGATGGAGATGGGGAGATCTAACATCCCCTGAGCCACCCTGTAAACCACCACAACACTGCTCCCTGATGGCAGAGTGGGAGCCAGGTGCTCAGGAATGCTGCCTCTGGTCTGGATTCGCAGGACTAGACAGAGCTTAGGAGCATTATCCGTGGAGCATCACCCATCCATGTGATGGGCCTTTGCAGGTGCAATGAGGGGCATGGCCTCCAACTAGCGTTGCATCCCCAGGTCCATGACTGGTATCCAAGGACAGGCTCTAACACTGCAGAGCTGCAGGACATCCTACAGTCCAAGGCATTCATGTTTCTGAGGCTCAGAAAGGTGAAGAGATTGCTCAAAGCCACACAGCTCCACATGGCAGAGCCATCGTGAGCCTAGACAGGGAATTCAGGCATGATGCCCACCCCAAAGCCTTCTCCCCTGAGACATCCAGGAACTCATTCTGTCTCCAAAAAAGGAAGAAAGGGAATTGTGGAACTGTTTACCAGACCCAACCCAAAAAGCCATAAGAACAATGAATTATCCAAGGAACTCGGAGGGCCACATTGGCTGCCCTAGGCCTCAGGTCAACAACCAAAAGGCCGCCGCCCCTGCTGACCAACCTGGAGCCAATGCAGCAGTCTCTGCTATCACTGGCCACTGAACAATATTTTCAATCCTCATGCCAATCTGTGGGCAGCCACCCATCACTTGCCCTTTTTTACAGGTGAGTAAACAGGTACTAGACGCAAAGTGACTTTCCCCAGATCAC